TGAGTAGGAATTCCCATCTAAGGGGTGTTTTCTTTGAGTTTTCCTAGTTGTAGGTGAGAAATTCCATGTTACGAGCTTCAGTCAAACGCAGCCTTGATCAAGAATGAAGGAACACATACTTGGGACCCCTTTCCCCTACCACTTAGCCCTTAGCCCTCTGTTTTGCGCGTTCATGTCTAGGGTTAGGGTGTCCCAATTCCGTTAAGATAAAGGAGTAGGGCGAAGTGTTAGGGCCCTCCGAACGGAGTGTTATGAGGAAAAAAAGAAAAACCGGCATTGTTACGAAGAAAACGACCATAATACACAACATTAAACTAAGATAATACAATGGTTATCGTAATTTTTTAAAAATTACGATAACCATTGTATTATCTTAGTTTAATGTTGTGTATTATGGTCGTTTTCTTCGTAACAAGCATAAAAATCGCTAACAGCATGCTAATGTCTCGGTAGCTAGCTAGCTAACTTTCCCGTTCCACCTTAAATAGTCCAACAGTATTGCTGCCTGAAGCGCCAGAATGTAACTGCTGCTCCATTTAAGGTGGAACTGGAAAATTCCAACAAGAAGCTGGTGAATAGCTGACTTCAGCTTCGTATCATCAAAGAATTAGCGGTGGGCGATAATAAATAATTGTCTTAATCCCCCTCTGTGAAAGCATATGATGCCCTAAATGTAACTAAAGCCCAGCAGCGAGGTCGCCTCCTCTGCTATCACTGAAGACAGGCTGGGTTGCCTACAGAGCGCCACTAGTAGCCTGTTAATGAAGCAATGTTTTTTTGTTTTTTTTTTAATTTGAAGGTCCCATTTCGTAGGGGAAGATTTCAACCACTACCACTACTTTAACTCAGTTCCAAGAGGTTAGGATGACACTCGAAAACAAGGGGTAGGGGTAAAAAGAAGAAATTGGATTGGTTCTTGATAGTGATTAAAACCTTTTACATAACGATGACATTACCAGCAGAACACTGCTGTCAAATAAGTTTTGGTTTATCATAAAAAAAGCTGTCTTGACATTCCTAATTTGTGTGCACCTCTGCCTTCCCTGACTTCCCCATAACCTAATGATAAGGGAATTTTGTTTATTTTATTTTGCATTTTATTATTTATTATTATTTTGCCATTTGAACTGTTATGCAAGAGATCCTGTTTCTCTGCAATACAGAACTGTGCACCTTCTGTTTAGATAGGCTGAAAACTGAGTGTTGAAAGTGGCAGCAATCCTTTTAAAAATGCCATCTCAGTTCAGCTATATCTCTATTCCCTATACAGTTTGTTTGCTGTATGCAGTATGAAAGAGAAGAGTGTGTGTCACATGACACAAATACGTTCCCCCCCCCAAGACATTTCTTTCTCTAAAGTTGAATGGAAAAGGTTTCAACATTTATATAATATTACTGAAAATTTCTGTTTCCATTGCCTACATCAACAAACTTTCTGAAGTGGTAAAGTTACAACTTTTTTTGCCAAAAAATCCTTTGGATGGAAATTTTGCTTATAATAACAGCAAAGACTACAATCTTTACTAAAACTTTACTACCAAAATCATTTACAGATGGAAATACTTGTGTGCAGGATTCATCATTGCCATTGCTAAAATATGGATTTAATAAGCATTGTCACTGTCCAAAGAAAAATATGTATCTCCATTTTGGTGAATATTATTTTCTACATCATTTGAACACAGCAGCACAACATGATTTCAAATGTTTAGATTATTGTTTTGATAGCAAAGATATGATGTCACTTTACGTGAGAGGAACATGAGTAGCAGACTTACAGTTATATATTACTAACTCTGATTGGTGCTTTTGGCAGATTCTGACATCACATGAGCCAATTAAGTCCCGTCCAACTCAAACTGAACAGAGGAAAAAGTCATTTCAAAATCTCTCAACAGAAAAGACCAACATCATTGTTTCACTGCAATTTCATAGTAAAAAATATCACAACAACTGTAACATAATAGTTACAAGAAAATAATGAAAATGAGTAGACATGTGCTTAGAGATAGGTTGGCATCTAACTTACCAGTCGTAGTATCTGAGATTTGCTTGCTAGTGCATCATCAACCGTCTAAAAGAGAAAGAACTATTACCGTCAGTGTCAACCAGCGTTATTAATTTATCGCACGACAAATAAATATGAGCTGAATTTGCTTGTGAAAAATGCTGAAGTAGTACGCATAAATACGAGTCTGTTATCATTCTAAAAATAAACGGTTTCCCTCACCTGTAGCAGTTAGTAGTCCTATTGGTAGTGATGAGGAGTCGATTCTTAAAGAGTCGATTCCTTGACACGAGCAGTTCTGGGAGTCGGGTTACACTCTTGACCAGTAACTCTTCGACTCTTTGACTCCGTGTTTTTTTCTGACGGAGGCGTGTGTTCAGTTTGGGTAATGCGAGTTTGTTGAACGGCTTTATCATAATCCAGCGCTCCCCACCGGCCGCTGATGAAAACGTGGTCGGTGTTTGTGCCTCTATAGTCCACCGCTCTGCACTCTGACTCAGCTACGGAAAACTCTTCATTTTCTTCATAGTTAGGGCTGCGACAAACAGGGATTTAAAATTGTACAAGGAACGAAAACCAAAAAATAACAATGAGCCTCATTCCCCAAAGTTTTTCCTTAACTTTGTTCTTGAGAAGGGTCCTAAGAAAACGTCTACGTCAGATTCATAACGTGTTCTTAAACGGCAGAAATATTCCCATCCTTTGTGTACAGATTCTGTTCTTCCCTAAACATAAATCCCAAATAAGAAAACATTGGCGACGCCGGAATCTTCGTGAAAACTGCGTAAGTTGGTTTTAAGAAGAAATTTCTTATTAAGAACGGTTGGTGAATTAGGCACAATATTTTTCACAGACCATTGTGGAGAATAAACTGTAGGTTAGGGTGGCATTTTTGGCCTGTTTCTAATTCAAATTTTCTGTTCCACCTTAAATGGTGCCGCAGTTACATTCTCGTGCCTGTAACGTTACACTGTTTAAGGTGGAACGGAAAATTCGAATAATAAACTGGTGAATAACTCAAATTCAGCCTCGTGGAAAGAGGAACAAGCTAACATTCAGCTATTCCGAAATGAAAGCGTTACTTTAAATCTGGTTAACCAGCTAATAATGGTTTATTTAATAGAACTATGACTACAGTAATGATTTTCTCAGTACATCACTGTTTCTCGTCGAAGCTGTAGGTCGAGGTTTAAATTCCAGCAACAGGAGTCGGAGTGGAGTCCAGAAATGCCGGGTCGCATCACCACCAGGAGAAATGACCGTTGGATAAGTCGTCGGTTAGGCTGATCCGTTGAGATTCCGTTAAATTTTGAATTTTAAATCAGTGTTCAATTGTGCGCGCGGGCTGTAACAGAGCAATTCTGGGGTGTTGCATTCCACAAATGTTGGTGTCGACTCCTATGCGAAGGGACGGTACTCGATGGAGTCGATACCACACATTAATCTCGATTCCAAAACACGGAGAAGAACATCAGGGTTCATTATATTTAACCTTAGCAAACAAATTCGCAAAGCTAATGGTCGCTAAATGAACTCAGCTGACTAACGAGGGCTGTCTAAGTTGTACTTGATTCTCCTCTGTTAGCTCCTTTGGGTGGGTAGATGGTAGTTTTGGCTCTGGCAGTGTTGTTTGATTGTAAGCCATTTTTTGTTTCAAATTTTACATTTTACTTTGCTTTCCATGTTGTCTAAAGTAGCACACAGTGTCCTGTGTCAGAATTTAAAGGATGCATTTTTCATACAGATTGTCTAAGTTAGTGACAGCAGAATCCCTCTCAGTCCGTGTGCAGGAGGACGTTACTCTGTGGAATCGAGCAAAGCTTTGGAGTCGACTCTCGATTCAGGAACGCCCGAGATCGAAGAACCGATTCTTTTTTGGGTCGACTCCTAGAGAGCAGCTTTAATTCTTACCACATGGGTCCCACATGGGTTCACATTAACGTTAAAGTCTTAAAAACTCCCAAGTAAACAAATTTAATCTTTTTCTAAGTATTACAAGCGTGTAACCTATTGGGATCCTAATGCCATTTTAGGCCTTGTTCAGACAGGTTCTCCAATCTTCCCCTATGCAAGCCTGTTTCTGCGTCTTGACTTAATACGTTTTTGATCACAAAATACTGTTTTATAACTATGACTTCTCATAACAATGACTAAATACACAATCATGTCTTACTTACATAATTAGGACTTCAAATATGAAATATCAACAGAATGAGATACTAATTCACAGTTACTATGACTAAATATGACTAATGAATTTCTCACCACAGGCTTCATAAGGTTCCTGCTGCAAGCTACTTTTCAGAACATATTCAACAGACTACCCTTTCAGAAAGTCTTCTTAATTCAAACGCTGCATACAATGTGAGGAAACTGGGTAACACTTTATTTGAAGGCTACCTACATAAGAACGTCATTACACACGCACGAGCATTGAATAACGTATTTATAAAGCAATACTTGGGTATTTATGAACAGTTTATGCCAGCAATCTCAAGATACCATAAGCTGAAGTATATGACATTGTATTGACATAAGGGTTTTGTAGAACTACATAGAACTGCTATAAACTTCTAAACTAGACTTTCCTTCTTAGTTCCATTACTTGGCAATGATGCTTCATAATAGCGTTATAAATGGAGCATCACTTTAAGGTCCCTTATGTCAATGCAATGTCATTTATTTCATAGAACATCTTATGTCATCTTGCAGTTACTAGCATAAGCTGGTTGTAAATACTCAGATATTGCCTTATAAATGTGATTCAGTTCTTATGCATGTGTGATGTAATCATTGTGTGGGTCGACTCTGAATGTTACCAAAAACTGTTTGTGGCATTAAAACAGGCATGATTTTTGTGGTCTGCATTGCCAAGAATATCTATAAACTTGTTGAACTCAATGATGACATAACAGCAAAATAAGTAAAAATGAAATACAAAGTAAAATAATTCAATCATTATGCCTTTTATTCCCCCCCTCACATTCCACAGGGCAGATGTCTATCCAGAGAGTGAGGGGATGTATCCTCTCAGCAGCCCTTCGTCTAACGGATCTGATGTCTGACTTCCAACAAGAGAAGCCCATCTGGTGAACAGTCTATGGGTTTTCACATCTGGTATACAGTCATTCTTTGCATATTCATCAAGAAGACTACATGTTAATGGACACTGTATATATGTAAATACACAGTGCACTGTACATGTATTTATGAATATTATCCAAAATAAAAGTTAATAGTTAAAGCGTTTTAAGAATAATGCAATCTTGATGATGTATGATGCTCAAATTCAGAATCTTAAACGGTCTCCCTTTATGATTACACAGACTGGAGTGCAGTTACCTAATCTGTCTCAGATGTTTCTAAAACATTTTTCTTAATATTACATTACAGCATTATATCAAGATGTTTGTGCAGTGTCTACAGGCTGTATGCATTACTTGTAGAGTGTAACAATAGACTCATCGTAAACAAAACTTCATTCAGTTCAAAACACGCTAACTTTACTAGGCGATGTTTTAAGAGAACTATGGAGTTGTCAATGTTTTAAGTCTAACCATAAAGGGACAACCTGGTTTATGGTCCAGCCACAGAAGTGTAAACATTAGCTTCTTTTCCAACATAAAAATTTAAGTTACTGCACATCTAATAATGCTGCTACTACATCTTTAAACCTTAACCATGACAGTTTTGCTTACAGGCTTTTTGCAGTTCAGTGTCTTTGCCAGTTGGCACAGTCACAGGAAAAGGATCTGTTTGGGGTACAAAATAAATCTGCTTTCAAATGCAGTCTTTTTATGATGCTCATTTAAAAGATAACACTTTGTCCCACAGATCTGATTCAGACACAAGGTTATCAGTTGATATGCTTATGTAAAGGTGCTGACACGCACGAGCACTGGAAACTGGAGACGCTAAACTCCCCTATGGCAAAGTTCGTGTTTCAGGTTTGCCGTTTTATTTTCGGCAATTCCTTTTTTTGTAAAGTGAGATACTTGAAGGCAATCAGTGACCACACCACACAGTAAAATTAAGTTTATTTTGCACTGCCCCGTCGTTGCTAAAGTACTATACATTATCTTCCTTATTTCTTGCATTTCTTACTAATTGTAATGTGTATCCCCCTGGAAAAATGAGTATTTGGATTGAATTTTCAGCCCACAATGGGGCACATTTAGTTTTTAGTTCATGGTCAATGATTAACAACCCTATAACCAGCCAAAAGAAATGAAATCTAGGTCTGGCAAGACTCACAGGAGCCCATTCTTGATGCCAACTTTTTTCACCCTTCCCATTTCTTTCCAATGGAATTCTGGTTTTGCTACACCTAAACTCCACCCTCTACACACCCTTGAGCTTACCACTAATGCTAAGCTTTAATATATTACCCCATATGCACATAACAAGCATAGATAGGTTGTTCTTACAGTGCTAAAGGAAAATCCCTAACTCTCTTGTAGAAGGATTCTAGAAGATGTCAAAGAGGAAGTCTGCAAGTGATTAGGGCCAGCTGTTAGGGATAAAATGGAAGGCCTTTGACACACGCTCCAACGTGATTTAGTAGAAAAAAGTGGGAACAAAAAGTATTTATGGGCAACTTGGAGCACTGCCACCTCCAAATACACATCACAGGAAGGATCCAGAACCAAGGTAGAGTACTGCTCTGCGCTGATCTGATGAGGACCAGAAAAGCGAAGTGACAGCCCCTGTGTGGCCCCATCCTCTGAAGAAAGTGGATAGGGACATGCTGGCCTCTTTAAATTCATAGCCACAGTTCTAAAAGCAAGGACAAACAGTGGAAAACATAGAGAAACAGATTTCTTCCAGACTTCTAAATTTAAAAGCTTTAAATGGTTTGATTACAGGTGCACCGTTGCTACCATGTCTACTATCCTGTCACATTTGCATAGAACAAATGACATTATACAATGGCTAAAATTTCACAATTAGTAGGAACAGACGATTGTTTAAATGTTAAAAATGACTTAAGCAGATCGCTGATTGTGGCTTATGTGATTTATGACAACTACTTAAACTTACCTTTTCCTGATACCTGAACCATGACAGTGACCTCAAACAACAAGGCTCTTGGTGAGAGGTGAGCTAGAAGTAGTAGATCATGACATACCCATTAAAAAGCAATATGCCACTGCACAGCTGGAGGTCAAAATGGTCAAAACAGCTGGGAGGGCGAAAATGACTAAAGTAAATTTCATAGCTAAAACGGTGGTAGTAGCAGTAATAGCCACACTTTTGTCCATTTTAACTGGTGTACATGAGCTTCCATTACTTGTTACATATATCAGCCTTGTAAAACTGAAGTTGCAAACTTTGACATCAAAAATATCTTGACTGATTATATTTTGAGTGACGAAAAATGGTCAATGTTATTTTTTGCCAAACAATTGCTTTAAACTGACTTTTATCGTTACGAAATAACAGCAAAGATCTGTGTACCACTTGTACCCTGTTAATGCCTTACATTTCATTATGCAAGCATTAATAAAACCAATGAATCCTCAAACTGCTTTCACTTATTTCAAAGCAAATTTAATTACATTTTCTTTACAAAATCAAAACATTTGATTACAAAAGCTATAAATATAAAGTGGTTTCAGACTTTCGCATATATCTAGGACACCTCATTGTGATGGGGGGACTCGTCAATTTTGTAATTTGTTTACTTCCAACCTTCCAAAATACCAATAGGTTTGGAGCCCACAACTACATGCCTAATGTACAGGACAAAGACAGAAAGAGAAAAGCTTTGTTCAAGAAAGTAAGCTCAGCTGTATGTCACGTCACTAGGCATGTGTACTGAAAAGAGGATAAGAACAGTTTGTCATCTTCTTCAGTCAATATGGGGCCAGTGTGACTTTTCAGTGACTATTTTCCAAGCTGAACCAGCTAAGTCTTATTTACACCTTTACCTAAAATCCTCAAGTAACTGTGTATCTGAGATCCAGAATGTGCTCAGGCCCTCCAGGGACAGACAGCAATTATCTACAACATAGGTTAGAAAAATAGCTGGTGCTGAGCAAAACCACGCAGAGTGACATATTTACATCTCCAGGATATGCAGAGAGACAGAAAGACTGGTACAGCAGGATGACGGATCACCGACGCGTAGGCATCAACAACTGTATAGCTGTCACTGCGTCTGGGAACAGTTTGTGATAGGTTGGGAGGGGCACGTAGGCAGCTGTGATCATTTTGCCTGTAATGAAAGGAACCAAAAAACATTTCAACAGGACATACATGTACTTTGATTACTCACACATTCAAAAGATCTGTGAGCGCATCTCTTTTTGAGACGAGCAGGGCATTTCTTACCAGCAAACCAGCGTCCGTGTAGGGCACTGACAGCAGCCATGGCTGCAGGAATAGTGGGACACTTCACATACACATTACCCTGTGAAAGGACAAGAGGTCAGTCCTACAAAACTTAGAGAAACTACAAAGGCATGAACAAGATCTGACCAGCTAAGAGAGTCAGGCAATGAAAGAGAACTGCTCAAGCCTGAAGGTCACTAGGTTGATGCTGCAGTACTTACTTGAGGAGAATTCTTGTCTACATATATGTGAACAATGCCTCCGTGTTTATTGCACTCTTCAATGACATCATCCTTAATCTCTGTGTCCCAGCCAAGCTCATTTTCTCTAAAGAAAAACAAAAATAATAGTTCAGGTCTACACATAGTTCACCACCAAATTAAATGTTTTTAATAACTTTTTAATATTCCACAAAAGGAATCTAATACCATTTCCACTGGAAAAAACCCAAGTAAGTATTTCAAATATGTCATGTATGTTTGAATATTAGTTGTATCGTCCCCTAGCCTTTTATCATTCATAGGTTTCTAAACACAGCTCCACTGTCTGCTCAATATTTTTGTTCTACAATAGTTTCATAGTACACAATGGCTCTTTTAAAAAATTGATTGGTAGGAATCAGATAACTTTAATAACAGAAAATAAGACACTGTCAGGCTTTTTTAGAATATATAAGACCGTAAGACCTGCGGGAACCCTGTTGTCAATTAACACTCAATGACATATGCAAAAACACTAGTGTGCTAGAGAGACTCACGACTGTGGGTTGAACATGTTGGAAAGCTGCAGGCAGTGAGTGGCCAGTGGCTGAGTGGGGAGGTTCATAGCCTGGTTCATGCCAGTGCTGGGGATCAGAGCAGGGTTCGCTGTGGCAACACAAAGACAAATACTTTAAATCACACTGTACCTTCTAACATACAACAACATTTAACAGTTAAGTGAACATGCTGAAGCGTTACACTTCTGTAGGACGCCTGCTAGACACTCTTGAGCTTCATCAGCTCAAGATTCGTCAGCTTTATCAGCAGGCATATTCCTTGGGAACACTCACACATGTAAATGTAATTATAATGAACACACTTTGCTGAGCTTGCATTAAGGCTGTAAAGCATGAACCAACTGTGAACTGAGAACAACCTGAGTTTTATTGGAGGATTTTATTGGAGCACGTCCGGACAGCTCTGAACGACAAGGATCTGACTGGATCGAGGTGATGCAATACCTATAACTTTACAAAGTGCTATTGCATAAGGTTTTTGTTTTAGGACTACACTCCATTTGCACAATACATTATCTCACAGGTTTACATAAACATGATAAAGTCACTGTACTTTTTTTTTTTGAGTACCTCAACTTCTCTTAGGTAACATACCAGACCAAAGTTACAGCAACATTTAGCTGAGCACAATTAGCTATTTTCCTGCTCAAACACACCATATTCAAATCAGCAGTTAGTCACCAGGTTTAGCAAGTGTGTTTAAGCAGTGAAGCCACCAAACTGTACTGGACTTATGTAATGAAAAGATAACACTGTCACAAGTTGATGCATTTAGCTTAAACTCACAGGTGCAAGTATGCACATGTACAGCATACATACAACGATTCTTGTATTAAAAAGCTGACACTGGCCTGTGAAGTAGTATAGCCAAATATTTTATTTAGCTAGCCTGGAGAGAAAGCTGTTATTCTATGTAAAAATTTGGATCATTAATTTCTTCATATACTGCTTACCTTTTGAATGGTAAGCACAGAGGTTCATTTCTCAATTTGAGATTGTAAATGTAGATGACCTAATGCTAAACTAAAGCAAACAGTTTAACATTAGATGAGGGGCAGTCACCGTCTTCTACACAAGGTAATGTCATTTTCTGCTTAGTGAATGATGTGGAAGCATGTTGGCTTGTCAAGATAACACTGATAAAGAAGAAATAGCTTTTCTAATTTCAGCCATCATATTTTAGCCTAGCTGCAGAATTCTCAGTCATGCCTATGGCACTTTAAGGCTATCGTGTTTTGCTGTAGCAAAGTAAAATATTACACAACAGTAAGACTTTGCACTGAGTGTGCAGGGTCTGTAAGCTGCAAACAGACCTTTTTCTTTTTTTACACCTACTAATCACGGACTAAAATACCCAGTAGGTTGCGAGGCCAAATGCTGAGGTGTTCCTATAGTAACATAATAAACTTAAGTACAGTATGAACTTTTTTCGGTGCATTTACAGTTCTATACGTGAAAATCACACCCTGCAAGAATCTCATGTAAACTTCTAACAGTGTAATTTTCATGTCATCAGAAATGGACACGCCTGTCTCATTCATGAAAACATGACTACTGGTACAATACTCTAGCTTGGCATTTGAGAACTATGGCACATTATAATGAGGGAGGGACAGGATCTTTAAAATCTGCAATTTGCATATTTTTTTTATTTTACTGACACACAAAAGACACAAAAGAAACACAATCGAAAGCAAATTACTGCATACTGGCTCTAATTCATTGTGGAAACTGAGGTGTACACCTAATTGTGCTAATGTGCTCATTAACAAAAGAATGAAAAATCCTCACCCCCAGGCAGGTTAGCAAATGGAAGAGATCCGCTCATCTGCAGGGCCTGCTTTGCAGCAGCAGGAATCTGTAGCCCAGTACCTACAAAAGATGGGGGCAGGGGGCCACAATTTTGCATGTAAACTAAGCTTTTCAAGCAAGATAAGTACATCTCTATACAATCAGATACATAAAGTTTAACCTTAGACTTGTACACTACACTAATCCATACCCTCTGCAAGTCGGGCCATGAGTTGCAGGCGGCCTGTGGTGCCCAGGTCGATACCCGTTCTCTCCAGCTCATCGTTGTCCAGGAAGGAGCTGGCTGATGAGGCGTCTGAGCGCTCTGTCACATGCCCCACTTTCATTGGGCGGCCAGCCAGCTCAAAGCCATTCAACTGTTCCAGGGCCTTCTTGGCACATTCAGCATCTGCAAACTAAAAACACAATCAACACAGTTAGTAGACATCGTCACAAAGCCTGGCTCATTTTAGTTCAACTTATGTAAGCTTCTAAACAAGACCAATACTGATATACTTACTGATATGAAGCCATAACCTTTTGACCTGCCCGTCTCGCTGTCCATCATCAACTGGATGCTTTCGATCTAATCAGGGAATAAGCAGACCTGACATAGAGCGGCATCTCCCAAATACTTGGTATTAATATGATTTCTTCATTGAAGTGGCAGTAAAAATGTGATATGTCTCTGCAACAACATGGCAAAAATGCAGTGACCATCTCACCCTGCCAAAAGGCTCGAAGATGCCTCGGAGCATGTCCTCAGTGATGTTAAAATGTAGAGAGCCCACATAGAGGCGCATCGGCCCTGCGCCACCTTTTTGCAAGTTCATGGCTGCTGCTGCCCTGTTCTTCTCAGCCTAAAGCACACAAGGAGATTGTTAGACATCACATATGAGGAGCCAAATTCGAGGGAAGGGTCTATACTGCATCTACGTGGAATTCTTTCAGACCTGTGAGATCTGAACGATGATGGGCACTCCCAGCACTCTCTGTCCTGTGAGCCCAATAGCCAGCGGCACAGAACTTGCCTCCACAAACTCAACATAGGCAATACCTTTAGACCTGCGAGAGTACCTGTCTGAAATTATCCTCACATCACGCACCTTAAAGAGAAAAAAAAAGACGTCAACACCGCCCCCACACAAATGAAAATACAAATAAGTAAAGTAATTAGAAAGACATACCTTCCCCACAGCAGAGAAAAATTCCTCCAGGTCTCTGGGTCTAATTCTGGCGGCCAACTGCATGCAAAATACTGTACGAGCATCTCTCTCCTCTGCACTGAGATTATCAATCGGCTGCCTGTGCGAGAAGACGGATAGAGCATTAGTTTCTGCACTGATACGTAACTGGGTACTGGATAATTAGAAAAAGTTCACATCTTCAGTGCAACCATGGCAAATGGATCTATGCCAATCAGCATTTAGAAACAGTGGCCTGTATTTATCAATCTTTTCAGCGTAATACTGATGCAATACTGAAAATACAATGACCTGATGAGACCTGATTTTAGATCAGTGCTCTTACTCTGAGACACTCGATAAATGTGGGTCAGTATTTTTATATTATGAATCCAAAAGTGCACAATCCTGTGTGTAACATTACAAGGAAACAATGTTTTTGTTTCCTTGTGATATTGCTCACAATATATTTATTAAATATCCAATAAATACAACCCCTTATCCCAATCAATGACAAAAAGCAGAAAAATATCCAAGGTACCACAGAAGATAAGTCATTTCACCTGACTGGGCTCTTGTCTTTCTTAAAGGGACTCCTGCTTCGAGAGCGTTTGCGGCTATAATAAAAACAGTCAAAGAATGGGTTAGGATCTTTGTTTAAGGACAGCTGTGTATACTAGGCCAATTTACATCATGCACATTCAACAGGCAGCAGGAATCACAGAAGGAGATTAGATCATAAAAACCTTAGTTTGGTGGGTGGGCCAATCTTCCCTCCAGGACCACCGTTAAATTTCGGCCCCAAACTATGACATAAAACAAGGCTTTTTCTGAGCATTGTAGACCAGCCAGCAAACAAGAGAAAGGGCTACTGCATACTGGTGTATGAGGGCTTGTCTCTTTGGCAATCTCTCAATTAAGCTGAATCAAGCTGAGGTAGTTGGAGAACACTTTGGGTCATGTCATCAATGAGCGTTACAAGACTCAAAGTGGGAAAAGGCCCTCTTAGAACCAGGATGGAGCAGATTACATGTCTAAAATTGCTTATAACATTAAGCATAAAACTACAACAGCAGTAACAGTGATCATAGTGTGGAGTTGCATCGCCATCAGGTCAGAAACATGCTGTTACCATGACAAACTACAACACTGATGTATTAGACAAGAGAACATGACATCAGACTGACAACTATTCCAATCTTCGATGTATTTCTAACACCAAATAAATAATAACAAATTTACCCCCAGAACATGCTTAACTATTCCTTAGATCATATCTTACCATGCTATGAACAACTACACATGAAAGACATGGTAATATGGGTGAGTGATATGGCAAAAATGTGATGACGACACTTATTGTGACGTAATTTATCGTGACTGTCATTAAACAGTCTTTTTAAACTCATGCTGTTAAACACTTGATCTGAGCCATTTTCTAAAGCTACAATTTACAAAGCAGCTCACCAAGATCACACCTGCTCTATTAATGATATGAGCACTTTTTTATTACCGACCTTGGCACTGTTTTATGTCTATTTCTACAAATGCAGGAGTCAGAAATATATTTTTTTAATTCTGATCAAACAGCTTTTATTCACTATTATATTATTAACTACCACATTTACTGTATTTGAAAACAGTAAATTCACCCAACTAGATGATAAGGTCCATTTGGGAGTAAAATACAAAAAAGGGTCCTTTTTGCAGCATTGCCTGATTTAAATGTATGTAAGGAGAAAGCATAAAGCTAGGGAACAGTAACTCACTGACGGTCATAGTAGTCATGTAACCACTCAATGTCACAGGTTAACCTGTTTGCTCTGCATTTAAAACTAAAGACAGCAGAAGAAGCAAAGCCTTCTATAAAGGTAAGACAGAGCTCAGTCCACCATCAACTAGTGCTCCAGATGCTCATGTCTGGCTGTTACACAGTGGCAAATGTGATGCGTAGAAACTGCCACTGAGAAGTGCTATACTCACTAGGGGCTCTTGCGACCACGATAGCGTCCATAACGCTCATGACTGCGGGAGCGGGAGCGGCGGCGTTCTTTGCTGCGAGATCGTTTTTTCTCGCGGCTGCGGCTCCTACGACGGTCCCTGCTTTTCTTGCGATCCTTGCTTCTACTTCTGTGGTGATCTGCGCTTGTGCTTCGACTCCGGCTGCGCCTTTTCCTGGGTGGAGGAAAAAAAACAACATGCTGACCACCGGTCTTGTCTACGCACTGAGGTGTTAATGTACTTGCAACCAGCAGTCAACCAAAACAATGGCTACTCACTTCTTGCTGCTTTCATCATGGCCATTGGCACTAGAGGACTTGCTGTCACCCTAAGCAGGGTTGATAGAAGAACATCGTGAGGACGGAGAGGATACATAGCAAGTCGTCAAAGGAATGGGGGAGTGGGACAAGAGAAAATACAGAATATTTTCATTTAGAAAAACAGAGTTCAAATCAATGGTTGTCTGTTATAGACAGGCTTCTACCAGCAAGGTCCAATTTTCCCCCCTCAACTTCAGAAGGTGATTACCCTTTGCTTAACTACAGTGTGCTCTGTCACATATCAAGTCAAACTTAAAGAAACTTAAGGGAAAGATCCCATCAAGTTATTGAGTGGCATGTTACAGAAAAGCCATGGTTTGGTAGGACCCCCGGTCCAGAGTCTGATAGTACCCTGCTATTTTAAGCCTAAAGCTTGATGCTAAGGACAGGGTCGCTAAAGGGTTTTCCAGAGTTGAGGCTGTCATTCCATGAGATCTTCACCCATTTGTGCGGTTGGACTGTGAGAGTGCGATGCCATCTCTGTCTCACAGCTCGTCCTGAAGCAGACAGGGATTTACACGGCTTAGTCATAACGGCTCCCAAGAGACACGGCAGCAAAGTAATCCACAAAAAGATACCACTGACTTCCTCATGAAAAGATTTTTTAAATTGTGCTCACTTTACAAAATAACTATCTTAGTTAAATTTATTCTGCATCTGTTAAAAAAGAACAATAATAAAAGTAGCCTTCTCATAGTAATGGAACTAATCGAGTTGGTAATGTATCATAATGTATCAGTATAATGGAGCTTCCTATGTGCATATGGTAAATTGAATTTGGAGGAAACATGAACTTGATGTAATACTAATGTTCAGGGCATGCAAACATCAAGATGCTGGCTTATTTGATCTGGAGATCATCACAAGAGACTGACTTCTGAGACAGTATTCATACTCTGGAATTTTCAGTTAAATCACTTAACAGGAAGCTGCATGTGAAGAGAGTAATGTCATATAACATAGTGCTGCTCTTAAAATGTTGTAGTTTATGACTTTTGACCCAAATACAACATTTCTTTGTGCATGAGGTAGTTGAAATGACCTGCCAGCTATCATAACTGCAACAAAAGCTATTACAATGGATGGTGGCTTTGGTAAGGCAGTGCTAAAATGCAAATACTGTCTCTGTTTCATGTCAGGTTATGTCCTTATTTCATCCACTGCCATTCAACCTTGACACCAAAGAGGTGACTGGATGTTCTAAGATGAGGGTCTTTTGATATTTGACCTAAGGGATCACAGTACATCAATACATTCCGCAATGACCACCTTACTTTTTTTCACAGTTCACACTGGAATCAAAGGTGTATTCAGGGAAGTAGAGGTGAGATATCATTAGGCAAGTCTATAAAAAGAGATAGACGGGCATTTATTTGTAATTCAGATTAATTGCTGAAACATCACACAAACATCATCATTCTCTCTACCACTCAGATAGAAAAGACTTGTCAGTGAGGCATATGCTATCAAATACAGGACTTCCGAGTTGCCATACTGTAACAGCTACTCAGTCAATGTGCAAAAGAGCATTAGTGCTGACTAATGTGAACTGAAATAAGCCAGTTCAGTCACCCACCTTTTTGTAGGGAGCTTCAAGCATGGCCTCAATATCAAAGTCGTCAGCCATTTGTTACCTGTAGGTTGAATCATAATACAATCATTTTTCATTCTGACTTTTGTATTCTGAAATTTGACATTCTTCATATTAAATGGGAAGCCTAAAAATAGACTTTCCTCAGCCTTGTCAGTTTAAGAGAATTCATCATTTTAGATGGTTTTCATGAATTATCAATGTTTTGTAACTTATGATAGTAAATGCAATTATTTTATCTTTAGTCAGCACAAAATTGATGCCAGAGACATGTTTCTTCTCTTCCAGCAAGAGAACAGAAGTCAAACCGAGTTAAGGTATCTACCCAGCTAGCTTGCTAACTTTAGTTTTAGCTTGTCCTCCTCCTCATCTGAAATCTCTGCTGTTTGAATAATTCATTACACCCATTAGAACAATGATCTGAAGAGTTACTAGAGTTATACAGCTGCAATAAGACATTCAACTTCCTAGCAGTAACGTTAGATATTTGGCTTCCTTCTGCATTTACCATCTAACAAAAAACATTTCAAAACAACACATCCCAAAAGACCTCCTCAATGCAGTTTTTTCCAAATGTCTCTCCCACTTTCAAGATAAATCATCAAAGTGGGGGTTTCCTAGTCTTTAAAACAGATAATCTCACTCTAAAGACATCAGCACCACTGTAGGATGCAAGTAGGCATGTTTACCACAGATGTAACATTAACAAGTTAGGTTTTTCTGCCAGTGTCCCTTTAATTTAGCTAGTTAGCTCATTCTTAATCAAATACATGAGGCTTTGAACTTTGCTGTATGGGTATATACTAGAGCTGGGCAACATCAGATATTTATCATTATTGTGATGAATTACATCACAATATGCTTTTCTTATCATGTGATATCAGCAGTGCTTCTATAACACTAGTCAGTTACATGTTTCATTACAAAGAGAACAGAATTAGTCCTGTTTATTTGATTTAGTGAACTGCAGTATGAGACATGTTGAATGCAAATAAAATGTGACACCACTGGTTCCCTTTGTTCATTTCAACCTGTCAGACGGCAGAAAAATATATGGCATATCGCGTGTCGTGAAAATTACTTGAAGTATCGTGATACTGTATTTTTGCCATATCGTCCACCTTTAATATATAAGTGCGGGGCTAAGGCTCCATTCTGTCAGTTCTCTGTAAGATTATATTATTTCTTCACGTGTTAAGCATGCTGTCAAGCAAACAAAGGTAACTTGCAAGGAACTGCCTCGTACAAAAGCTACAAATACAGGAATACACGTTTGCAAGGTTTTATGCCTTCTCAGCTCTTCGAAGTTTCAACAACAAAACTATGATAGCTACAGCTTAGCGTTGCCAATGGCAGGTTAATCTTAACAGCGTACAAAATATTACACGCATCTTTTGCTGCACTTTTTAGCCCAGACTTCACGTTAGCTAGAAGCTAAGGCCTCCGGCATTAGAAAAGCTTAGCTGTCCTCAACTGACTTAACGTTACTTCTCCCTTTGGCAGCAAACTAGCTAACACATTTCAAAAGCGGCTTAATCTACATAGCGAACCCCTTAGAAAAACAATTTAGGAGAACAAATACCAACCAGTTTGCTAAAAGGCCTACACTCTTGCGTGTATGTCCGTAGGACGTCGCCGCGAAATCAGCTATGTTGTTGCAAACGAGCGCTATTCACAAACAGTCAGCTAAGCTAAGCTAACCTAAGCTAAGCTAGCTGGCTAATGTTATCCAACTCGCTTAGGCTCTTTTCACTCCACCAGCAAGCCTGAAGCGGCAACGGTCTTTCCTTTGGTTATTTTACCCCGTTATAAGTGATGAAGTTAAGCAAAACTCGGAATTAACGCATCCCTTCTCAAGCTGCAAAGCAGTTAGCTCCTTAGCCAGCTAGCTACATTTGTGTCTATGAGTTCACCGACAACTTCCTGGATATCGCACAAAATGGCGACGGTGTTTATGAGGGGTTTCCCGTTCAGAACTGCATGGTTTGCCTTAGTTGGACAGAGGTGTAAACCGAGGGCAGGAGGGACTCAAGTGTACTCAAAGGGAACCTCACCCATTTTTTTTTAAATTCCGCATAATTAAATGATTGCAATCTTTTAGCGGGGATTGATTGAATTACTCCGTTAAAGAAACACTTGCCGAGTCAGAATTGCTCACAGTGGTGGTGATAGGAACCCGACGCCTGGAGAGTTTAATGCCTCTGAAAGCTCACTCACAGAAAGTTATTATATGAAATTAAAAATTTAACGATTGCTATAGCTGTTGTAAAGATACTTACTCATCTTCTAAAGTGGTCCTGTACTAGTCTTTGGAGTGAGAGTTTCCTGTGTAAAGACTAGAACAACCCCCTTCTCATGATGCATTTTGAAGGTGTGAGAAACTTTTGAAAAACTGTAACTGCTTTGGGGTGTAGTTTTTAAAAGCAGGCTATTTTTAAATATTGTGTTAGCAGGTGAATGCAGAAGGGAGGCAGATTGTTACTGTTATTGCTAGAATGCCGAATGTCTTATATAACAGCTAAAGTTAGCACCTGTCTATCTAGACCCCAGGTGTCAAACACAAGGCCTGTGGTCCAGATCAGGCCCATGACACAAGACTATGCGGCCCACAAAAGTAGTTTGTTTTTCTATTAGCCTGTTTCACAGTGTGCTGCACTAAAGTCTCCAGCATGCATTGCAACGTAATGTGCACTCTGACTCCCTTACCCCAACAGCAGTCTATGGGACAGCGGTTACATCTCAATTCTACACAATTTTACACAATTCCACACCAGTCATTTCACCAAATGCATCTCAGCTGCAGTGTAACCAACATAATCAATTAATGTTAGCTTAGCAGCTCAGAAATTGAGCCTAAATCTTAATGCACTTGCAGCAAAGAAAGGATACCAAGTGTCTAGTCCAGGCAAATAGATGGCTTTAAAAAGACAGAGCTCCTGGGGACATTTAAATTTGGTATATTTTAACAATTTTTTTCTCTGGCCCACAGATTTGATGAGATTTTTTTTAATATGGCCCTTCCACTAGTTGAGTTTGACACCCCTGATCTAGACAGTTGGGCTTATCTCAGTTTGGCTTCTTTTCTCTTACATCCATTTAGTGCTGAACAAAGACAGAATCACTGTTTTCTTTACGATTTTGTTCAATGTACAAATAAGCCTATAAAAAGTGGTAAGGCACATTGATTGACACCATAGGGATTTCCAATGAATGTATGATGTATTTTGTAATGCATTATGGTTATGAATGAAAACATGAAATCATATAAAATTCTGAATTCTGTTGAACCGTGTAGGCTAAGAGGTCTTATTCCATGCTACAGAATACTACATAATATAAAAAACACGTTAAACTCGTTTTAGGCCATAATGTCCCATAAAGTTGGACCCATTGCTTACACAGGTGTTTACTTGCAAGCACACAGCTTGTATGTCAACAGAAAAGCATTGCCAACAGAATGAGCTCCATCAAATGCATTTGTGATGAGCGCATTTGAGATCCAGAACTGATCATCCAACATCAGTACCTGACCTCCTGAATGCGCAATGTTCCAACATTAAATGTAAAACTTTCCCAGAAGGGCAGAGTTTACTTTTCCTTTTATTAGACAGGATTTCCTAATCCCTACCCTGGGCATCTATTGTCCGGCACAGTTTCAGCTATTTCCTGCCTCAACGCACATCCTCCAGTTCATCAACTGATTATCAAGCCATTCATGAGCTGGATCAGGTATGCTGAGGCATGCAATAGTTGTAATTATGCATGGCTGAGGGTCCCCAGGAGCAAAATTAGAAAACAATGTTATTAAGGGATATGAGGCCTGCATCATTAGTCAGATAATCAGTTTATCCAATAAACTCTGTCTTAGGATAGCTTGTACTTTAATTTGCTTTACATTCCCAGCAAATAAATTTAATCATACAGTCTACATGTGATAACTGGAACAGTTTGTAATAGAAGTACTGAAGACTAGCCCCCCAGGGGTCACGCACAATCACTTGAGTACTATGATCACATAGATACTACTGTATTCCTCCAGGCATTTTTCTTTCATTTTGTGTGGCTTTGCATCTTCCAAATACCATGCTAGTTGGCTTTATATAATACAAGGCTGAAGAACTAATTAATGTGGGGTAAAGGTCCAGCAGTACAGACGAATGTGGGCTCACTATTACGCAAGCAACGGGACACTGTTGCCCTTTTTATTTGTGTTAAAGCTGCTTATTAAATATTTTTAAGGTGTTTTTGACCTAATTAACAACCTAATAATAATAAACTTATTTTAAACCGTTCATTTTTCATTTATACAAGTAGTCTTACTGTAAATTAACCACAGACAACATAGGTGCAGATTAAGCAACAATTGACCACTGGCTGAGCTTTATATATATATTTTTAGTTGTTCTCAAATCAGTCCCTTTATATCATGCAGGACTAAAGAATTAATACTGCAAAGAAAAAGGTCAGAACGTTTTGAATCCAGAAACTAAAACCTAATACAATCTTTCATGTTTAACCACAGAAGGGCCATAGATTCCATTTTCAGTAATATGGAGTTATTTTTATTTGTTTTCTCAAAATCTTGTGGTATTTATGTCCGCCACCCTGGCAAAACAAATGTTGTTTTTCTGAGATCTCAAGGCATTTATTTCATTATCACAACATAATGGACATTGTCTTGTCAAGATAACATTTATGTGAGAAAACAAATGAAAATAACTAATTTTCATAGAAACACAGTAAAAAAAAACTAGCAAATCCATGGCCCTTCTGTATTTCACAAATCCCAAAAAAATACAGGAAATATTCTTATCTTGATCTTCTCCTCTAACTCATAACAGTAGTGCATTGTTATGGTCATCATAGCGCATAAAAACAATACACATTACCATAATCGTGACTTCAGGGCAAATTCCAGAGCAAGAAGGCGCACTCTCAAATTTTTGTGATTTTTCTTTATTTTGTCTGTTCATATTGTCTGTATTTTCATATCTTCATCCATGTGCTTATATCTCCTTTGGTCTAATTCGCAAATCAGATGTTACTGGTTGAGAAGCTGGGGCATTTTGGCCGCAGTTTTTCAGGCCCAGGAATGGGCATTTTGCATCTTGGCCTAACAATTTTTCTTGTTGTATTACTAGACCAAGGGGAATTTAACACAGGGGAAGACTGTATTCCTCTTATGCTATTTTTTCACCCAGCAGTGCAGTATGATACGATTACAAACCCATGATCAGACATTTTGTCATAATTTCCTCTGAGAAGTGAACCATACCATACATGAATAGTCATGCTGAATTTAATTACCCTTCTTGCTGGGGTATCCGAACAGCATCATCATGTTTTGAGTCCGAAATTGACCCGAGGACAACAAAATTTTGTCAGAAATTGACCCGAACCACCCCATCATCACTCAAGGTACCAAATAAAACCTGGCAGAATAGCACCGGTTACTGTGTAGTAACAATAATAGCTGTCACTACAGCACAGACATATATTATTATATAAACAATCAGACATAATGAGGTAAGATAAGCTTGAATCAATTTATTCATCAAATAATGCTTTGGAACAACATCTCAAATGTTTTAGCCACACTCACTTCAACTCGGTAAGGTGTTGGTAGAAGCAGAGAAAGCACTAAAAAGCAGGGCAGTGGGCCTCCAGGAGCAGGACTGGGAAACACTGACATAGAACATACTGAACATAACAAAAATATTTTTTGGCAAAACAATTCAAAGGTTTTTTGGCTGGACTAAAAAGTACTTTTCTGATTTGGTTCACTGTTTTTGCCCCATTTTTTCAAAAGCGTGGGCCTCATGGACATTATGCCAAATGTATGGCAGTGAAAGTACTGAAAAAAGGTAGGGAGAAAAATAAAAGCAGAGGGAATGCAGGGTAAAATCATTAAAAGTGGGAGGCAGGCTGAAATCATGTGAGCATCACATAACCTCCAGAGAACCCCGCTTACCTACTTACCAGTTCTGTTTTGCGATAGGAAACAGATACAGGTACTCAATCAGTGTACGGATAGTTTCGGATTTGGATTTGTAACTGCACTATGCTGTACCACAGTAGGGACAGACAAAATGAATTACTGGTGTTGATGAAAAGAGAAAAAGAGAGCAGTAGTCTCCCATACTATTCTCTCTTTTCTGAGGGAATTCTGATTGGTAGCACACTACAAAAGCTTGTCATATTGATGACCAACAGTTTTTGTGAATACATGGCAAGATTTGAGGTCACTATTAGTGCTGTACCATCATATGGCTAATGTTAACCTATTAACCTCTACATCTTGGGAAAAAGGTGGATTCACAGGTGTGGTTAACAATAGTCTAATGAACAGCACTAACATACTTCAATTCAGCCCCTCCAATGCAGCGCTAATGGTACACTAGTCCATTGTTGTTGTTTGTATTTCATATTTTATATTTTTTTTATGTTAAAATCATTTCAAATATGTTGTTAACATTCATTCACCAAAACTAACAACATTGTTAGCATGTTTCTAGAGTGTCTTCAGGAGCTTGACTGTTTCCAAGATTTGACAAACCAGGACAAATAGGCTTGTGTTGTTTGTATTGTTTGTTTCACCACAAGACAGCTGACCAAATGAGTAAGGGAGATAATGAATGTACAAGCATTTTTTCACAACACTGCATTATAAAAAGGACACTCTGACCAAAATGAAAAATGTAACCATTGCTTCATCTGTTGTAAACATGCCTACTCACTTCGTACAGTGGTGCCCCAATAGTCTGTTGTGAGAAAATGAGGTTTCTCAGTTTAAAAACTAGGAAAACTCCCTTTTGATGATGCACCTTGAAGGTGACTTCAAAAACTACAACTGTTTTGGTGCAGATACTTGAAGGGTACTTTTAGTTTGAGTTTTTCTGCTAGATAGTGAAAGCAGAAAGAAGCTTGATACTTCACATTACTGCTTGAAATTAATGCATGCTAGGCACTGTAGCAAGTAAGAGAACATTTATTGATGAAAACACAAAAAGGATACAAAATATTCTGTCAAACTGAGGGATACAGTGCTGCCCTGCGGAATATTACAAAAATGACAAACAGCATACTATTCGTGGCCCACTCATATCCATGCCTGGTCCATTTAAAGTGTTCTTCATCTTTTACTGAATGAAATCTAGCTTTCGGTACTGCGCTTACCCAGTACCTGCTTGTCCTGCGTCTTTGCACACCCTGGGTCCTGTGCCCCAGGTACCTGATTATAATCTGCAGGAACATTAAAGAAGAGCTCATCATCAAAGCAGAACTCATCAGGTGGGGAGGCGAGATACGGGAGCTTGAGCAGCAGTCCCGTCAGCATGCCTCCCACAGCAGCCAGAGCAATGGTGCTTCCCAGTGCAGCCAGTTGGTACAAGGCTTGCTCCTTTGCAGTGCGGCCCAAACCCGCCTCCAATCCTGGAATCAGTTCCTGTAGTTTCGCCAGCCGAGGGTCTCCCTTCTGGGGTGCACGATAAGAAAACGTCTCATACAGGCTGGGGCCATATGTTTCCTCACTGGCCCACAGAATGGCGCAAATGGCCGCTATAGTTGAGATAAGTCCCGTTAGGCCGTGAAGGTTGTGGATGCCACACTGGTCCTGCACGCGCAGCCGTCGTGCAAGAAAAGGACTAAGGTACTTATATCCCAGCATGCAAGCGGTACAACCCAGCATCCCTAGCACATAAGCAGCAGCGGGTGTGATCATCATGTCCACTGAGGCACCAACAGTGACTCCACCAGCCAAGGTGACGTTCTGTACATCGGCCATGCTGAGCTTGCCATTCTTGTTGAGCATGGCCGAGAGGGCAAAAGCAGTTAGTGTGGAGGCACTCAGGCCTATGAAAGTGTGGAGGATGGCTCTGTGCTGGTCATCTCCTCTCAGGGTCAATGCACAATTGAAGGAGGGCCAGAATACCCAGAGGAATAAGGTACCTAGCACAGATAGCATGTCAGACTGATAGCTGGTACATTCTTTGGAATGACCATCATTCAGAATTGGCCTATACAGGATGAAGGTGGCACCCAGACCAAAGTAACAAGCAAACATGTGAATGAGGATGGAGCCACCAGCATCATTGATCTTCAGGTACTTGACAACAATCCATTCCGTAACGCCAAACACAGGAACCTCCAACAAGGCCATGACCTATAGATGAAATTGAAACAGATATTTACAACTGACTATCACTGCGAGACTTGCAAACTTCAAAGAGAATCTCAATCAAACTTACTAATAACTGAACGGGACTGGTCTTCCCCAGCACTGCTCCAAATGAGATAAGCACAACCGCACAAGCAAACTCTGCATTGATCAGGTTTATCACTCCCAGATGAATCTTCCCATCATAATAGAAATGAAAGAAGCCCTGGATCAAAATGGCCCACTGGATGGCAAATGTAGCCGTCAGGAAATTAAACACCATTCCACCAAAACCATACCGCTGAAAGAAAGCCAGAAGGCAGCCAAATCCGATGAAGATCATCACTTGGATGTCAGCGAAAAAAGGGTAGTCTTGGTACACAGCGTTCTCCATAGGCTTTGTCATGTTGTTCTGCAGCACTGCATTGCTCTGGTCATCGTAGGTTACAAAGACAGCATATAATACAACGATCATGACTTCCAGGACAAACACCAGAGTGGGAAGCCGCACTCTTAAATTAGTGGAATTTTTCTTCATTTTGTCTGTGTTTCTGAGGTGAGGCTCCTTGTACCCCCTCTCTCTTTACCCCCTTGTCTTACTATCTGTCTTTTCATGTCTGACTCCTTGTGCTTATATCGCATTTAATCTGATAAGCAAAACAGAAGCTATTGGCTAAGAGGCTGATGTACTCTGGCTGCAGTTACTCAACTGCAGGGATGGGCAGTCGCACTTTGGCCCTTTTCTGAACATTTATGAACACTCAGCAGCTTTCGGACACCAGCACAATGTTTGGTATATTGTATTACAAGGCAATAAACAGGGTGAGAACAGTTGACACCATCAGTGTTGCAGATGGGAAAAATTCAATTATCATTTTGACATTGTATAAAATAGTTACATTAAGCCTGTATGAAAAATATCACCTCCAAATTTAGTAATTGTGTATTTAATAAATATCTCAGGTAAGCTGCTTCTTTTTAGAGGATAAGATAAAAAAAAATAGGCCCAGTTAGCAAAATCATTAAAATTGTACTCAATGTTTCTGGTATTATTTTAAAGCAGTGATTTGAAAATGTTGATTTCATTTCCACATGAACATGGTAATCTGGCAAACTAGCCTTTCCCTCCCCACACTGTAAACTTAAATAAATTGACATTACTTAAATCGTGCAAACCTATAGCCTTGAAAATTTTAAGTTACTTAACAGGTTCAAGCTTAAATAACTTTACATTTGAGTTTTAAGTGCTTTGTATTTTTCAGTGATCCACACTTTTTCAACAAGTTAAACAATTCAGTCATTTTAAATACTTTCAGTTGAGCTGGCGGTACTGCACTTTTTCAAGTTCTGTTTATTCTCAGTATAGTTAGATTAACCTGAATCAGCCTAGTTAAGTTAACCTCTCACTTAATTGTGCTTTGCTGCAAGTATTAATCTGTGTGCAATGCATTGGTATTAACTGTAAAACAACTCCATTATTTTAGATGCACTTTTTCATACAGTAATGAACAAATTGCTCCATATCCAGTGACGACATATTGTATGATCCATTTCTTCACATAATAATGAAGCAATGGATAAGACAAGAGTAACTCACTTCTTAGGGCCTCAAGTACCTTCACCATTGTGTTCAGAAACTCACCAATAACATTCCTGGCTATAGTGTGAACCTGTAAACCTGAACACAAAACATCATCATGGTGAGAACAACAAAAACATGTAAAATGCATCCATATTTTACATTTTAGCATTAGAATATGCTCTGACACAAAAAACATTATGCAGGGAGAATTAATGAAATATTCAAACATTGATTAAGTAACACAACACAAACCAACAAAACTGCAAAGAATGCTGAAAAGCTTCTTGGGCAAAGGACTTCAGTATGTATGACTAAGTAACTACAGCATTATACGAGAAATAGTTCGACTAAAAAATTAGCTTACCAATGCTCTACTGGCTTCACACTGATGTTTGCAACACATGGGCTGTTTTGTTTGATAAATGCGAAATATCTGAAATGTTTGACTCATTTTGTCTGATGGGAAAGTGGTGAGGTTTTGTTAAGGATGACAAATTATGTAGTTTTATTGCAGTGTCATTGTTACACCTACAGTGATTATCGTTGTCAGCTGTTAAAAGTACAGGCCCTATAATAACATCATTAAAGCTCCATGCGCTGATAAAGCTTGTGGAAATGAACTTTGAACAATATTCTCAGCTTGAAGTCTGTGGTTCATGGGGCTGCTTTGACCACAGGCTGCAAACAACCGTTTCAGATCTTCCTCTACTCTTACTAAGAAGTGTGTGTTAAGTACAGGCAGTATTATGAATGGCCTATTTCAAGTGCTAATTAAATAACAACTCTATGAAATATATAAAAGTCAAGTGGAGTTACTCCTAAAGAAATAATGGATGTATTCAAATGAAATGTGTTTATTTTTAATAATAAAGGAAGTCAATTGGACTAAATATGTTATGAAAGCTTAGTGTGGGACAAACAGCATTAAATTACTGAATCTCAAAAATTCCACTGAAGACCAGGGGTGGGCACATTTTTTGTCTTAGGGGTCCAAAGTGCATTGTTTCTTGGTGGGCTGAGAGCCAAAACAACAAAGCAATATGCAAAAGTTTCAAATTAAGTTTTTAAAAATGTATTTATACCATTACTTTAAATTCTGTTACTAAAATGTTTCAGAAATACAATTTTAAAATCAAAAAAAGGAAAAGTTATGTATGGTATTAAGCATATTTGGGAGAGAGGATGTTGTTAGGATAACTTTCTGGTGGGAAAATTAAAATGTCCTCACTGTCCAAAGTTGGGTCAGCCCTGAACCAGTAGGGCTTTTCCTTATGTTATTATTATTTTTTTTAAATAAAACAATTTGATGTTGTATGTAAACATAGCCTCAAAATGTACCACTGACGCTCCAGTCCATACATGGAAGCTAAGCACCAAAAAAAGCCAGCTCTGAATTCATTGTTTTTGTGATTGACTCATGTGATAAAAACAATATATTTACCAGTCCTGCCTATTCACACTAAAGTTATAAGGAGTGTTTCAGCTGCTGCACTGCTTTCTGAATGAAGCACAATTCAGAATAGCCAGTCGCAAGAGAGCTCATTTACATACCTCAGTCTTAAAACCACAGTAACAGAAACAGCCTGTTTAATCCTAAGAGATCAAGAGAGGTGAGGAAAGGGTCTTGTAAAAATGAATCATGACTGTTTTGGTTCATAAAACCACACAAATGTTATAACCCCAGGGGGAAAATATAAAAAAGTAATAAAACCAAAGAATGTGGGGCCTTTGAACTACAGAAAACCATTCTGAACAAAGACAAGCACAACAATATGTGTAATAAAATGACAATTTATTGCATTAGTGCAGACAAATCTATAAAATGGTCCAGAGAAACCATTAGCCATGTAATGTAGAAGCATCTGACAAACGTAAAACAATAATCTCAGATATTTCTTTTAAATATGCTTTGTAGAACACAATAGAGAATACACATTTCTATTTCTTTAAAATATTAGACTTGCATGGACACAAATTAAACAGCTACGCTAAGATATAACTCTATAATAGTTCTGATATTTACAAAATTAACCACCAAGGCCTAGCCTGTCTTATTCCTACAGCGATACAGCTCAAACATACAGTCACACACACACACACACACACACACACACACACACACACACACATGCTCAAAGACTGTTTCTTTCTCACTCTCATGCTTTCTCTTTGTTAGAACCTCTCCTCTCACACGCGCACGCACACGTTCACAAATAAATATGAAGAACTGCGACAGAGAACATAAAACACCTACATCACTACCCAAGATCAGCATCTCTGGATCCACATAACGCTACCATACAAAATGTATCACTACTCTTCTAAAGATAGAATACAAATGCCATCTGTGTAGAAATGCTAATTCTCTTGTTCTAGTTTTTGCAGGGTGCTCACATTGTGGGGATTTCTGAATTCATAGGTTTCTGAGGGCGCAAGCGTGTCTTTACAAAACCAGAAGTGACCACGGGTAAATTGAGTTCTGGTAGACTCCTTTAAAAAAACACCGACCTACGGCTACACGCAGACACAGGGAGAAGATCTGAAGGAAAAGGCTGAAAGGCGAACTCATGAATCTCATCCATCCTCTACAAAATATTACCATGTATTCCATAATCTGTCATTCTGCAGAGATAACTGCAGGTACACACTACCCTGTGAAGCTGCACGTATAAAGTGGTGGTCCATGACCTGCTCCTCAAACTTTTTTACTCTAACTAAAGGAGTTTGGTGAAAAATCGAATTTATATGATTTTCCACTTCACTAAACATGCATCAGTCAGAACATGTCGATGCATGTTTGGTGTCCAAATTTTGCTTCTTTAGTTTTGATCTGGAGATGATAGGCTAACGTTGATAATTAACACTGGAAGTCAATAGTCACCTAAGCTGTTTCTGTAAATACACGCCAAAAAATGCAAACCGCATCCAGGTGTTAATACAGGTCATGCAGACAAGTCAATGTGGTTTGGAACATAATATAACTCACTATGAACTACAACACAATGACAACAAAAAACTTCATTTTGGTTAACTGGAATTTTGCAAAATGGAATGCAACACCTAATTTTTGTACATTTACCATTATTCAGTAGGTAACTTCTAACTCTTTTACAATCAGCAAACCTTCAGTATTACAGCGCTAACGCTAAGTTTGTAAAACATTGCCATTTTACAACATGACCCTGAACCACATCCTCTCAGAGTTTGAAGGTGGAATAATACTGAAAAGCAGGATGTTATGTGGATGATAATGTGGTTCCAATTTTAGCTTAAATGTGAAAAACAGGGATATCCACATCACTGTACTGTTGTTTTTAAAAACATGTTTACAAAGCTTTTTGACATAATTGGAAGCGAATATATGAAGAATAGTGCAGGTTTTTGTGGAAATGGTTTGGATGGACTTCCAGTGTCAGCACAGTTAGCTTAGCAGCTCCAGTTCTAAACTAAAGATGGAAAATTCAGACATGGCTTGGCTGATTGACTGCATTTGGGATAAGTGGAATATCATGTTAATTTGATTTTTCGCAGAATTATTCCTTTAATACTATATAATACAAAGAGATCACAGATCAGCATTCAACTTCTAGAACAATGGTCGACCCTCCACCTGGAGGTCCACTTTCTTTTGGAATTTAGTTCCTATCTGCATCTAACATGCTGCCTCCCACTTATCTAACACTAATGCAACTTACCCAGCCAATCAAGAACAAGTCTTTGAAATTAATAGCAGGCCATGGTTGGAACTAGACTCCGCAGGCGGGTAGATCTCCAGGATCTAGAAAAACCTGCTTAGGTCACTGGACCATTTTTGACCACACGCTTAAAAATAATGATTCTTCAAAGGTTCCTTAGTAAAGAAAATGGTTCTATATAGAACGATGAACAACCAAAGAACCCTTTGCATGATTAAAGGGTACTTTGCATTGTTAACTGTTACAATGTCAAGCCTGTAACAATAGAAGAACCCTTTTTGGTGCTACATAGAACCCTTTTCAAAAAGGTTCTATACAGAACCATATAAAACACATTCTTCATCAATCTGAA